GGTAGCTATTTCTGTACTTAAATATGACAAGAAATCGATTGGTGGTGGTCCCAGAACCCCAAAATGGTATCTTGTTCCAAACAAGAATCGTTTCGTCCGAAAAAAACAACACACTGTCGTATCAACTCTGTTTGACAGAAACATCCACCCCGGTCCACAATTGAAAGAGGTACGGTTGGTAATAACAATCGTAACAAATAGCGAACGCTTTAGTAACTTTTGATTTAAATTGTCTCCACAATTTGTAACAGGCTATCTGCAGAAATGGGTAGCACGGTTAATGACCATGGTCTCTTTCTCAAACTTCCAATCCTCAGTTAGATACAAAGAATAGTCTACACAATTTTTGATAACATTAAAAGGGATGAAAATCACTTTATTTATCAAATCTTTATTTATCATGTAACAACTTTTCCATAGTACTGGAGAGTAAAACTCTGTTAAACAAAAATATTCTCGAGTCAGTAACAGTAACATGTCAATATGTTACAGACTCAAATGTGTTTAAAAACATTTTAGTAACAATAAATTGTGTTAACTGATGAGGAGGAGTAGGAGGACTGAGGAGAAGGAGGACTGAGGTCTGAGGAGGACAGAGGAGGAAGACTGAGGAGGACCAGGACGAGGACTAGGAGGATGAGGACGAGGACTAAGGACGAGGACTAAGGCCAAGGACGATGAGGATGAGGACGAGGACTAAGGACGAGGAGGAGGACTGAGGAGGAGGAGAAGGAAGAGAAGAAGGAGGAGGAGGATGAGGATGAGAACTGAGGAGGAGGAGGAGAAGGAGGAAGACTGAGGAGAAAGAGGAGGACCGAGGAGGACTGAGGAGGAGGAGGACTGAAGAGGAGAGGGAGAACTGAAGAAGAGGAGCAGGATTGTTGTGGAGGAAGACGAGAAGGAGGAGAGGGAGGAGGACGAGAGCGAGGACGAGGAGGAAGACTGAGGAGGAGGACTGTTAAAAAGGAGAAGAACGAGGACTGAGGAGGAGGACTGAGGATGAGGAAAAGGAGGACTGGGGGAGGACTAAGGACGAGGAGGACTGAGGAGGAGGACTGAGGATGAGGAGGAGGACTGAGGATGAGGAGGACTCCAGAGGAGGAGGACTCAGGAGGAGGAGGAGGAGGAGGAGGAGGAGGACTGAGGACGGGGAGGAGGAGGAGGAGGACTAAGAGGACGCGAGGACTAAGGACGAGGAGGACTGAAGAGGAGGACTGAGGATGAGGAGAAGGAGAAGGAGGACTGGGGGAGGAGGACTGAGGAAGAGGAGGACTTGGGGAGGACTGAGGAAGAGGAGGACTTGGGGAGGACTGAGGAGGAGAGGAGGAGGAGAAGGAGGACTGGGAAGGACTGAGGAAGAGGAGGACTTGGGGAGGACTGAGGAAGAGGAGGACTGGGGTAGGACTGAGGAGGATGATGAGGATCAGGAGGAGGACTGATGATGAGGAGGAGAAGGAGGACTGGGGAGGACTAATGAGGAGGAGGACTGGGGGAGGACTGAGGAGGAGGAGGACTTAGGAGTAGGAGGAGAAGGAGGAAAAGGAGGAGAAGGAGGAGAAGGAGGAGAAGGAGGACTGAGGAGGAGGAGGAGGATGAGGACTAAGGAGGAGGACTGAGGAGGAGGAGGAGGAGAAGGAGGACTGGGAAGGACTGAGGAAGAGGAGGACTTGGGGAGGACTGAGGAAGAGGAGGACTGGGGTAGGACTGAGGAGGATGATGAGGATCAGGAGGAGGACTGATGATGAGGAGGAGAAGGAGGACTGGGGAGGACTAATGAGGAGGAGGACTGGGGGAGGACTGAGGAGGAGGAGGACTTAGGAGTAGGAGGAGAAGGAGGAAAAGGAGGAGAAGGAGGAGAAGGAGGAGAAGGAGGACTGAGGAGGAGGAGGAGGATGAGGACTAAGGAGGAGGATGAGGAGGAGGCTGAGGAGGAGGAGGACTGATGAGAAGAAGAAGGAGGAGGAGGACTGAGGAGGAAGACTGAGGAGGAGAAGGAGGAGGACTTAGGAGTAGGAGAAGGAGGAGGAGGACTGAGGAGGACTGAGGAGGAGGAGGACTGACGATGAGGAGAAGGACTGAGGAGGAGGAGAAGGACTGACGAGGAGACCTGACGAGGAGGATGAGGACTAAGGAGGAGGACGAGGAGGAGGAGGCTGAGGAGGAGGAGGACTGATGAGAAGGAGAAGGAGGCGGAGGACTGAGGAGGAAGACTGAGGAGAAGAAGGAGGAGGAGGAGGACTGTTGAGGAGGATGATGAAGATGAGGACTGATGAGGTCTGAGGAGGAATACTGAGGAGGACGAGGACTAAGGACGAGGAGGAGGAGGACGACTGAGGAGGAGGAATGATTAGGAGGAGAAGAAAGAGGAGAAGGAGGAGGAGGAGGATCAGGAGGAGGAGAAGGAGGAGGATGATGAGGAGGACTGGGGGAGGACTAAGGAGGAGGATAAGGAGGACGAGGACTAAGGACGAGGATGAGGACGAGGACGATCATGAGGAGGACAGAGGATGAGGACTGATGAGGAGGAGAAGGAGGAGGAGGATGAGGGGGAGGAGAAGGAGAAGGAGGACTGGGGGAGGACTGAGGAGGAAGAGGAGGATGACTGAGGAGGAGGATGAGGATCAGGAGGAGGACTCAGGAGGTGGAGGAGGATGAGGAGGAGGACTCAGGAGGAGGAGGACGACTATGAGGAGGACTGAGGAGGACGGATGGGGAGGAGAAGGAGGATCAGGAGGAGGATGAGGAGGAGAAATGAGGATGAGGAGGAGGAGAACTGAGAAGGAGAAGGAGAAGGAGGAGGACTGGGAGTAGGACTGAGGAGGAGAAGGGGATAGAGGAGGAGGGTGAGGAGGACTGAGGAGAAGGAGGAGGACGAGGACGAGGAGTCAGGAAGAGGACTGAAGAGGACTGAGGAGGAGAAGGACTCAGGAGGAGGAAGACTTAAGAGGAGGAGGAGGAGGACATCTAAATGTTTTGTCTGTTTTTGTCCGTTTTTGTCCGCCCTACTTTTTGTCCGTTTTGAAAATACAGGGTACCGAACGGACACAAAACATGATCCCCCAGCCAAGCATGTGTTACGATACAAATGTACTTGACTATACATTTAAGGTGCAGTGTACTAGTGATTTTATGGTTTGTTTAAAGACCGGACCACAAAATATAACCCGGTACCTAGTGTTGTACTAATACATAATAACAAGTAACAGGGATAAAATTAATGAGCAGAAACAATCGATCTCACGTCAAGAGGCCAAAGCACTCGGGTCTGGGAGTACATGACAACTCCAACTAGTAGTGAGCATACTAGCCCCTGCAGTGGAAAAACACATAAAACATACTATTGGAATGTCCAATTGGTTTGTTTTCTCATAACAATATAGCATTATATGTAGGGGTTCTGGTTGAATTATATCACTTCTGAGAGGTTTTAGAATTTAGAGATCGATTCTGTAAATTTCTCAATTTTCCGATTTTTCGATTTTTCCGATTCCGATTTTGGCCTCATCAACCCTCATATCGGACATCGGGTTGGACCCCCCCCCCCCCCCCCCCCCAAGCAATTTATGGGTGGGTATCTTATTTTATATACCAAGACACAGTTAGTACCGTGATTTCTCAACAGTTAGTACCGCAAAAGCCGGCAAAAAGGGTGGGTGTCTTAATTATTATCCTAAAAAACAGTTAGTACCGCAAAGGGGGTGGGTGGGTGACGAAATCACTGATTAAGTGCCGAAATCACGTATCTGCGAGATCTTAAAAGAGTCATAACTCGGTTAAATTGTGAACAACCAACTTGAAATTTTGGGAAAGCACTTCAATTATCAAACCAAATGTGTCTAGAAACTTTGGAGTTCCTAGCTGAATGGGAATGGCGTGCCACACCCTCTCTCATCAATGAAATTTTACGAAACCTTTAGGAAATTTAAGTTTGACCCATATCTATATGCTCTAAAACTTTTGTGCAATTTTGATACGAATTACGTGAGTTATTGAAGGGTTGCGTGTGGGCAGTTACTGTACAATCAGCTTGAATTTATATTATAGAAAACTTATACGTGTTCAAGCTAGAAAATCAAGTTTAAGGTCGAAATCGATTGAAAAGGGCAAAAACTGTCATTTCTCCGTTAAAAATAATTTCTAGATAAATATTGAAATTAATTTACATCGTTCTCTAAGGTTGAAACTTTGTAAAATATTGGTTTTTCTAAAGTACCAATATGGCATTATAAAATGGCATAAATTTATATGGAGAAAATTTGAATTTATGCCAATTTCCTGGCGGGATCAGGGTTACAGACAGCGTTTATTGAAATAACTTACAAATTTGGTCGCATCTAGCCAGGAGAAGTTGTTTCTTCTTTTCATGCCTGACCATTACTGCAGGAGGTAGATGGCATCCTTCACATGGCTCACATCGCTATAGTAGTTTGTTTGTTAGTTATTGAATTGTGTGGTTAAAATGTGTAGTAGTAATGGTAGAATAAAAGGGTTTTTTTCAGAGAATAGGGCATGATCAATTAAAATTCTAGCCATTTCTTTGTCCATGCAGAAATTGGTCCAGCATAATAATTTAACCAAGCTTGTCATGAGATTTGACAGCGATCAAACAATCAACTTAAAATATTGGTACACAACTTTCACTGCTGTAAATTAAATAAATCACATGTCCAATTGTTTTAAAAAAAATTGATCAGTACCCAAAAAGCCCGACCACTAAGGGTAGACAGAAGGATAGACACAAGGGTAAAGTTATTACTAAAGACTGTTCGATATCTACCGTAAGTGCTCAGCCTACTTGGATACTGAATAGGTTTAAATTACCAAACCATGTTTTCGTTAGTATAGTTCTAACAACTTCATACAAACTTAATCCATTAATTTATGTTTGAAATCTGTAAAATACTGCGAGAAAATAGCCACATTATCGGTCTCAGCGCTGCAAATAAAAACCTCAGAGTATGAGCTTGACTATAGGATGGAATGAAAGTAAAACAAACAAATTCTTGTTGCACTTTGATAAGAGCTAAATGAGTTAAAAACCTTTATTAAAAAATCAAATAAATACCCTTGTAAGTTAAGAAGTTAAAAATTTCAAGTCAGGTTTTAGCAATAAACTTCTTCTGAAACCTGACAGCATCTTTATGCCTCTTCTTGTATTCTGCAGTAAGCTGTTGTCTCTGGGATATCCAATCTTGCTCAATTTCTTCCATAGTTTTAGTTCTCTTGAACTGAGAAATGGGACCCTTTCTAAATAAGGGGTTTATGCTGTAAAAGAAATAGTTGTCTTGTTGACGTTTTACAGATTCTTTATTAAAAGTTTTAGTGTCAATTGTTTCTTCTTCATCGGAAGAATCACGTTGAAGTTCTTTAATTGAGAAGTCCTGTGCTTGGGCCTGATTTGTATCACTCTCTTGGACATTAGTTTGTGAACTCTCAATAGCAAAATCAAATTTGAAACTAAAACCGTTGGAATTGCTTGTGTTATCAGCAATAGTCTTATTAAAATCAGTTTTTACTTCAAAGAATGTACTTTCATCAACTATTGGCATGTGATCAATCTTATCTTTTGCTTTTGTTTCATCTTCTTTGTTATTTGAATCATGCCCCAGAATTGTCTCCTCAACAGGACCATCAGCTTCTAGTGGAGCTTTGTGAGAAACTAAAAATTTCTCATGGTTGACATCAGTTGGATCAAACCTTACATACTGATCAACGACGTGCTGGTTTTCTGCCGCTGTTATTGGTTTAGCAGTTATACCAAGGCCACCCAACACAGAATCCATTGTGTTGTACAAAGTTTGTCTTTCATTATTCATTTCTCTTGTTTCATCATCTTCAGAATCAGTGTTACTGTCTGAGCCAGACTCAAACCGAGTATCGAGCTGGAATCTATCATCTGAACCTATTTTACTTTGCATTGTCATAAGTTTTACACCCTTTTTACCCAAGAATTGTGGCTTGACAGCAAAGCAAACATCTTCTTCCTCATCAACATCATGAAGAATGTCAGTCATTTTTTGGTCGTCTTGTGTGTCATCATCGTCAGAATCACTGAACTTGGTAATCTTGCTGACAGCTTTGTCAGACAATGCATTACGAACAAGTTCATTTTGGGAGGACTGAGTCAGCTTTCTATTTTGTAATGCTGCAAGCCGCTTTTCATTGGAGTTCTTTTGGGTCATAATTGCTTTACAATAATACTGTAAATATTGGATTTCAATTGAAAAGTACTTAGTATTCTTGAATGTAAAAGATTTGTCTATTAAATATTTAAATGTAAAATTAAACAGCCAACAGGTCTGGTCCACTTTAACTTACAGAAGTGCCTCACATGATGAGGATCAGATGTTGCCCTTATTGTTAAAAGTCAAACCTTATCTGCCTTTTTAGATGAAGTAATTGGAACAATCTCATATATCAACTTAGCTTCAAGTGTGCATATCAACACTGATGTCAAATTAAGTGTGTAAATATTTTTACCACTGGTTTGCGTAACGTTTAGAATCCAGAGATCCCAGAGTCCTGAATCACTAAGAACATGGAAAAACATAGCTTTATTCTTAGTAAGGGGAAAAGTGGCATTCCGTTGGATTCGAATGTTCACAAGGATTTCTCAACGGAATATGGTAGTTAGGACCCCTACGAACATAATTAGACTTGTTGCCAATTTTGTATCTCAACGGAAACACCACTTTTACCACTTTTTACCACCTTTGTACCACTTTTCTGGTTTGCCAAATATCTTTAGTTGTGAACGTCGTAGAAGGCTGAAAATTAACCTAGAATGTTTATCTTATCAAGGAGTAAAACTTTTGTATCTAAATTTTTACATTGGACAATCAGCTAATTGGATAATTACCAATTAGTTAATCACCAAAAAAAGTGAAAATTTTTTATTGGCTCAAAATGATTGAAATCGTTTGAAACACGGAGAAATGTAGTTTTTAGAAAAACTTCAAAAATTTTTGACTTAAAAATTTTTTTCGAGACTTCAAAAAAAAGTTTGAAAATTTGAAAATATTTTTTCCGCCAAAAGTGATCGAATTGCATGAAACGTGGATAAAAATGCTTTGCAGAAAAACTTCGAAGATTTTTAGATTGGGGAATACTAAAATCATCAATATTTGAAGTTGGAGTTCAGTAAATTTCGACATATTTTAGTAATTAGGAATAGCTTAGCGGAAAGGGCTGGACCTGAAAAAGGTTAACCACACAATATTAGAGTTTCATAACTAATTACAATACAGCTTTATCAAATTCCACATAAAGAAGCAGCACAAAAGGACCATTTAAGATCGAACCGATTTTACCTGCTGTTCTATCATTTTATTGATTTCAATGATCAAAACCTCTGTCAATCTTGCCAATCTATACCGGGTATCTGAATGTACCGGACCTCTTATTTACCTCTATAATTAGACCCAGTTGTGCAAGAAATGCGATTTCTCACAGGGGTTTCTTTAAACTGTGCACTTTTTGTCACTCTCGCAACTCGCAAGAGGCCTGGTATTATAGGGGGTATAGATGTGGATACTGGCGGGGAGGTGATAATTGTTTGTTTACATTAATAGTGAGCACATGTTAAGCAGGCTGAGGAGGTGATAATTGTTTGTTTACATTTTAGGTCGAGCACATGTTAAGCAGGCTGAGGAGGTGATACATATCTTGTATTATAGAAGGTTTGTAACACTTGTAACGCCTTCTTGTTGCCCCCTTTGAGGACCCCGAATTATTTTCTGAACGAAAGCTCAAAAATAACCGAGAAATCGACCTTCTTATTAACTCATTTTGATGACTGTTTCTGACCTAAAATTGCACGAAAAATCGATTTAGCTAGGTTTCAGAACCTATAAACACTTCCTTATCCCTCAAAATTGATGTTTTATAGTTAATACGACCAACAAGCAACACATATTTTGATCCTTCGGTTCTACTCATGACCTAGACAGTTAAGCTGAACCCGACAGATTGAGGCAATCCTCACCTTAACTGATCAAACTGGTACTAACACAATTTTCAGATATATATGTTCTTTGCGATACGTTTATTGCAGCTTTGCAACTTGAGTGAAGACCAGAGTACGAAAACACACAGCAGGTAAGCAACTCACTTTTGGTGACTGTTCCTCACGAACATTCTGATCCTGTAACATATGAACAGGGAGATCGTCTCCTTAACAAATCGAACAGGTACTATCACAATTTCCAGAGCACAGCATGATAACAAAGTCAAAAGAAACACAATGAAGGTAGGTTACCAACATGAACACCACAATATAACAATCATACTGACAACTGAATTAAATGTATTCTGACGACGGGCAGCCCTGATGTGCTCCGTGGTCCTCAACGAGCGACCACTTGTAATAGAGGTGTTATGTCATGTGACACCGATCCGTCCAATCACAAACAGGAAAAGTGAGCAGATCGATATCGTGTGTTTACTTTCCTTATCTTTATTTGACCCTCTGTTCACATTGTTATCTCTACCACATCTTGACTCGGCAAGGTCCGCGTGCAATATCTGCACCGCGGTAAACACGCCATGATTACGTCATGAACTTGAAATAGTGTTATTGTTGTACACTTATATAACCGTGCCCATCGCCCACGTACATTACAAACTGTTGGGGGGGTGGGGGCGGGGATGGGGTTTAAGATAAACAACCGATCTTGATAGTGTGTTGGTCGCTCCTCCAACTGACTGTGATGCTTATCGTCCAGTCAGGAACAGAATAATAACATAATTTTTTAGTATTTTTTAATAACATAATTTTTTAGTTATAGTATGTCTCATATTAGAGTAAATGTTTTTAATAATACTAATCTCCGCAATTGAACAATGAAACCGAAACATGCTATAACTAAAGAATGTTAATGTTCCGTTCATGACTGGACGGTTAGCATCACAGTCAGTTGGAGGAGCGACCAACACACTATCAAGATCGGTTGTTTATCTTAAACCCCATCCCCCGCCCCCACCCCCCCCCCCCCCCAACAGTTTGTAATATACGTGGGCGATGGGCACGGTTATATAAGTGTACAACAATCACACTATTTCAAGTTCATGACGTAATCATGGCGTGTTTACCGCGGTGCAGATATTGCACGCGGACCTTGCCGAGTCAAGATGTGGTAGAGATAACAATGTGAACAGAGGGTCAAATAAAGATAAGGAAAGTAAACACACGATATCGATCTGCTCACTTTTCCTGTTTGTGATTGGACGGATCGGTGTCACATGACATAACACCTCTATTACAAGTGGTCGCTCGTTGAGGACCACGGAGCACATCAGGGCTGCCCGTCGTCAGAATACATTTAATTCAGTTGTCAGTATGATTGTTATATTGTGGTGTTCATGTTGGTAACCTACCTTCATTGTGTTTCTTTTGACTTTGTTATCATGCTGTGCTCTGGAAATTGTGATAGTACCTGTTCGATTTGTTAAGGAGACGATCTCCCTGTTCATATGTTACAGGATCAGAATGTTCGTGAGGAACAGTCACCAAAAGTGAGTTGCTTACCTGCTGTGTGTTTTCGTACTCTGGTCTTCACTCAAGTTGCAAAGCTGCAATAAACGTATCGCAAAGAGCATTTATATCTGAAAATTGTGTTAGTACCAGTTTGATCAGTTAAGGTGAGGATTGCCTCAATCTGTCGGGTTTAGCTTAACTGTCTAGGTCATGAGTAGAACCGAAGGATCAAAATATATGTTGCTTGTTGGTCGTATTAACTATAAAACATCAATTTTGAGGGATAAGGAAGTGTTTATAGGTTCTGAAACCTAGCTAAATCGATTTTTCGTGCAATTTTAGGTCAGAAACAGTCATCAAAATGAGTTAATAAGAAGGTCGATTTCTCGGTTATTTTTGAGCTTTCGTTCAGAAAATAATTCGGGGTCCTCAAAGGGGGGTAACAAGAAGGCGTTACAAGTGTTACAAACCTTCTATAATACAAAATATGTATCACCTCCTCAGCCTGCTTAACATGTGCTCGACCTAAAATGTAAACAAACAATTATCACCTCCTCAGCCTGCTTAACATGTGCTCACTATTAATGTAAACAAAAAATTATCACCTCCCCGCCAGTATCCACATCTATAGGAAGCGAGTGTAAATATACCTTCCATCATCCATTGTGGCTTTTTTGTATTGTGAATGCGCATGCCGCTTCGTTTGCTATGCCATATACCTCGAATAACCCCCATATGTCATTGCCAGGGTCGGGATAGAGCTGGAGATAGCATTGAAAAGTTGCTAGAAAACGCTAGATTTAGAGTAAACTGGTGGTAGCTGGGTGGTGCTAGCATGGATGTAGCAGAACGTAGCTACACGGGGTTTCATTGGAGTTGGTTATTTTAATGGCCAAAGAGTGCCGGAACTAAAGTTACTAAAGATTGCAGTTGAGGGGCAGTGTAAACCACGGTGTAGTCAGGGACACAGAGCTACAGTGCAGGAGTACTGCAAAAGAACAGTGCAAGTGATACAGTCTGCAACAGTAAAACTCCGAAGAAGGAGATAAGATTGTGGATGCAGAGGAGGAGAGTAGCTGGAACCTGATTGTGTTTGTGTTGAAAGAAGAGGAGGAAGAAGAGTTTCCTGCTCTGGTAACTGCATTTTTGGAAGAGGTGGGGTGAGAACTTATTTTCAAGCGACAAGGGTGGGCTGGAAGCAACCAGATACAGCTATCCGACCTATTAAGATCACCGTCCTGAGCTTAACAGCATTTCATCAGAATCTGATGAAAACAGAGAGACTGACCCACCCTTTTTAGATCCAACGAAACCCTTTATATAAATCGACTTTTCCGCATGAATTACGTCATGGTATCTTCTTATCAAGGCTACAGACCTTGCCGTACCGGATTTATTGATCAAAGTGAGTCTCTTTAGCCCTCTTCTTCTTTAGAGCTTTAGGTTGGTGATCAAACTCTTCGCTACTCGCTCTTCACTGGATCTATCAGGACAGATTCACATCTTTTTAGGTCTCAACCAGCCTTAGTTTTCCTGTTTTCATCATGTAGTACGTTCTGCTACCTCCATTTTAGCACCACCCAGCTTCCATCAGTTCACTCTAAGTCTAGCTATTTCTAGCAACTTTTCAATGCTATCTCCAGCTCTATCCCGACCCTGGCAATGACATATGGGGGTTATTCGAGGTATATGGCATAGCAAACGAAGCGGCATGCGCATTCACAA